TTGATAATGATATCGAACTCGACACGGATCGGCCTCCCCGGGTTCGAGGTTAGTTTGTTCCCCTTCGGGATCTTACTTCGATAAATTACCGTTCGAACTCGATCGGACGTGCCAAGGCCGAAATCTATTTCGACCGTATACACTCATATTTTTGAGTGACAGTTGAGTACCGATAACTAAAATAATAAATCATTACGCATAAATTGAAACATAGATTGTAATTTTAAAGTATAAATTGCTATTATTTCAGACTTTAGTTTTTCGGTGTAAAAAAAAAATGGAAACGCAATTTTAACTACTAAAATAAAAGAGACAACGGCTAAATCCATTAGATTTATATTAAATATATTAAGTTATTAATTAAATCAATAATTCGAAAAGATTAAAATCTCAAATTCTGACTCTGTCCATGATAAAACATATTTTTGTGCTTAAAGGCCTATTAATCGTTTTATTTTGAATAGAAATGACACAAGGTAGTCACTCTAAAGAGCTACTATTTAAGAATTAGCCAATATATACTAAATTTTAATTTTTCAGGATAAAAATATTCTGAGTTATTCTTAAGTTAAAATTTTTAATTTAAAATTTTAGAACGGCTACATCTGCACTTGTCCCTTTTATTGAGTCACAAGGAAGGACTTTCTTATGGCGGGTCGGGTTAGGGGAAATGGGGCTAGCTTCCTAGATAATCGGATAAGATAATTTACAAATGGTGGCAATATTAGGAAGAAGCGTCCCAAATTCTCTCCATGGCAACAACGTCTATGTCAGCCATTTTTGTGCCTCCCACTTCGCCCTCCGTCACACGAAAGATAAATCTAAGTTCAGGGAATGACAAATTTGTTATTCCGCAAATATTTCCATTCCGGTCTCCGAATTACCAGTTTAGGAAACCGCCGTCATGCTCCAGTTCCAATGGCGCGGCGGTCCAAAGTAGTCGAAATACAAGCGAACTACCAATAAGTGTCGACGCTCTTCAGCGTTTCATTCGCCTCAATTTGGGCAACTGGACCGGCTCTTTCCATGTTAGCATTACCTCTTTCCAACTTACTCTGTTGAAATGTTTTTATAAGTACTTTTTTCAAATGTCTTTCTGCTGGATGAGCCTCATTTGAAGTTACGTGGCCTTTGATTCCGTGATCTGCTTAATTTAATTTGCAGCAATTTGATGGTCATGGCAATTTGATGCATAAAATTACAACGAAGCTTGCGGTGGGCTCTTATGGTGAAGATGAACTGATGAGTTTACTACAAACGTGAGCTCCTACTTCCATTCTTCACTTTTTCTGTCGTAGATAACTGTTGGTAGCGAGCTACAGGCTACTAGTAATTCTTTATGTCTCCACCTTGCTATGTTTCCGATGAAAATCAGAATGTAATTGCTAGAAAGTAGAAAGAACTACATTGGAACTTAGGTTAATTATCCGTAACATTTTGTAGCTCCTTCCCGAGTATATATGTTTTCTAACTTCGAATGCCATAGAGATTACAATGTATACACTTCATGTTAGGTTATAGTAAAATGATATGTAGGTGAACTTTAGTATACTAGTATCTATGAAGGTGATAATGACACATGATGATTTAAATATTTATTTATATGAAGGAACAATAAAATTTAATTAATGAGAGAATTTTATGTATAATAATACAACAATCATCTAAATGCCGAAAAATATTATTACAATAGCATAATACATGAATTTAACATAAAAGGACATCGTCAAAACTTACACAAATGATCAATTTTGTCATGTTAGTTAGATAATTATGTATTATAGTTTAAAAGTATTTAATGTGATGGTATCTTAACGGACACTTATTTGTGGACAATATTTTTTTGTGTATGTTTCCTCCTAATGCTTTGGTTGCTCCGCCTTAACCAAAACTCTTGTTGTCGATCTTGACATCTCTCTTGAAAATGCAACATACAGTTGTTCGTACAAGAAAACATATTGCGGTAAATATAGTCCAATATTTAGGATGTTTGTCCTTGTGCTTTATTTGTTATATTTGCAAAACATAAATATACTAAAAATTATTTTCACACAAATTTAAAAAGATATTCCTTAGTTTCGGAAGACGAAAGTTGAATTCAGGGATAAGAATATACTTAGAAGCACATTGACCAGTATCATAATTTCTGCATGTGTGACGTTATTGTCAAAACTTTTATATACCATCTGTGTGCTATTACATAAGCTATTCGGCGCATCTAAGTTTTTCAGTAGCATGACAGGCATATTCTTTTTCAAAATTAACCTATATACAATGAAAGATCAATTTTAACTTAATCTATTATATATACGGTGACACTAACATACGTAAGAAATAATAAACTTGACAACAAACATGTATGGTAGAAGGCCATTTGGTATTAAAGTATTCAAGTTCTTCTTGGTATTAATTATTGGTATCATTTTCTGCTAAGTCAAAAACTGAAAAATATTTTATTTTATTATAAAATTTTGCAATTAATCTTTTATTTAGTTGATCAACATATTCATTTCTGCTAGCTACGATATCTTTTTAATTCTATCATGCGATTTGCACAAATTGTGTTTTAATCTAATGATAGAAATATTTCTCTTATTAAATGCACTATTATTATCACTGGGATTGAACACCAAGTGTTCAGGAAAAATCAAATCATCTTTTATTGGATGCTTTTCTTCGTTTCCGACACGAAGCAAGAAGACACTGAATACTGGATCTGTTCACTAAGATTTTTTTTTTAACTTGAATAAAAATTTTACTCATATGATGAATTTAAAAAATAATTGAATTGGATTCTCTTGATAAATAATTAATTAAAAGATTTAATTATTTGGTTTTAACATAAAAATAATTTATTCTATGTTGATTCAGATCTTAATATTAGTTCATCTCTTGTTTTGAATATTTATTCTTAATTATAATTTTATCCACTATAAATTTTATTTTCAAAGAGTATAAAATTGATATGACATTTCACTTTTAGATCTTTATGTTTGTAGAATCATTAGTGGTATTGACTCTTACCAACCATTTTTTTTCTCTTTCTCACACATTTATATTCTTAAATATTTTCATAGTTGTTGTTTAATAATTGGATATTTTTCAATATTACACGAAAAATTGATAAAATAACATTATTTGAGTAGGAAAATAGTTCAAATATAATGCAAAAATATATTATCGCGGGGGTATTTTTTTCTCAATTTCAACTCTTTATGCAATCCATTTAATATTACTTTTTTTTTTAGGTATTGGACATTATGGAGTAGTAATGTATTGTCAATACGGAGGATTCTTATGGAATTGATTTCATTAAACCTTCCTACATATTTTTAATAAGAATTTAATAGACAAAATTTTATTAACTTTAAAATCTTAAATATTAAAAATTAGCAAAGAACGTATTATAGTCCAAAAATAGGTTATTGCAGTTATGTCCTTTCCCTATGAGTTCTTTCGCTTAATATTTTAGGGCTATTTTGGTATATTAATATTGTATTTAATTATGCTTTTATAATAAATATGCTCTCCTTTTTCTGAATGGATTAGGACAATATAATACATTCTCAAATTAAATTAGTAATAGGACATTATAATACGTTTTCGAATTAAATTAGTAATAGGAATTTTTAAAAAGTATATCCTAAAAGTAATAGGATTACATGACTAAAGATATTTACTTGTTCAATTTTATATGAATTAGGCAGCCCGAAAGTAATTATACTAATAGGATTCCTAAAGGTAATCATGGAGGATTCCCAATGTGTAGTATTATGCCCTAAAACTAATAGGATTATAAGACTAATATCAAGAATTTCGGTTATGTCCTTTTATTATGAGTTATTATGCTTAATATTATAAGGTTATTTTTGTAAACCGACATTGTATTCATGCTTTTATAATAATATAGATAGAAATCGACGTGCCTTTCTCTTTTTCTTGTTTGTGAATTTTGAGAAATTTTTCATTCAGCGTCGTGCATATCTATAAGTACAAGTAGCTTTTGCGAGCACAAAAACCAAAATTTTCCGCTGTTTTAAATACAGTAAATTTGAAGCCTTTATTAGGAAGGCCAAAGTCCCACATGCCTTTCTGATTCATAAGCCCCTTTACTTTCTAGATGTTTACCTTCCATCCATATAAAATTAGTTAACAGTGGTCACTGGTCAGTAATGTAGGGTATCCTCTATAACCTCGGATACTGTAATGTTTGTCCACTGTATGGTTTGGAAGACAAGTAAACTAATTGGGTTCAAACTTTAGGTTGTACATCAAACAGCCTCAATCTACCACTTCATTTTCTGGTGATGATTCTGAACCGGAGTGGTTTGAATACAAAATCAAAGAGACCAACATGTTTACTGTGGACAAATATCAACAGGTGAGCTTCACTAAGACAGAGAACTAACTTACATCCACTCACTGGTCATGCTTAATTGAGACTGTTATCTACAATTTTCTTTGCTTTTCAGACTTTATTGCATTTGAGGTACCACTAAAAGTAGTTTGCAGATTGGCTTCTTCCCCAAGGAGAAGGCGTATGCACTAAGATATCAGACTGCTGGCATGTTAGAGACAGTGTTAAGACAGGGAGTGCTTGGTGAAGATGATATTGGAGAAGAATCACCAAGGTAACTGTTCTTAAGTGGAGATGACTCAATGGATAAGCTGAAGTATCAGTTCTGATGAAATCAGCGGTTGAAATTATGTTTGCTTCAAGCTCTATTTTGGAAATAATACCCTGTGTGGTCTGAATGTTGCTGCTTCTAGCTTATCTTGGATGTTTTCGCCTTGTCTCTTTTGTGTTTAGATTGGTGTTTTTGTCCCTTGTGAATGGTATCTGCTGAATTCCAAAAGACATACTCTCTAATTTTCGCCAAATAATTTTGCTCCTAATGAATCATGGCTACTAGTTATTTTGTTTAACATATCAGAGAGGGCAATGTAACAACTATCATAATATTCTTGAAAATTACGACATTCTCTTGCAAGTTGAGTGAGGGCATTCAAGGGCCGTGTAGATATCTAGCTGACTGTTAAATAATATTTTGGATATTTTCCTATTACTATATTTTAACCTTAAATTTATTACAGAATCATTAAGTTGTTTTGATTAAATAATGGTTTAGTTACATTTTAGTTGAGCAGATGAAAATGATGCGGATATTGTAAACTTCACAAAAGAGGACGAATTACATGCAATATGTTGGTTGGATTTTTTTTTTGGGGGGGGTTGAAGTTGTGTATGTGGATATAGATGTATTCGGTACTTCCTGTGTTTGTCCTATTATTTGATCCCCTGTTGAAATATGCGTGATTTTTTTGGAACATGCTTCCTTGCATTCTATTGCTTGAATGCACACAGGAACAAAAGTTCCAAACTTGGAGTTAAGAGATAGGACTTGTCGTAAGCTTTATCAGATGAAATCAACTATCATACTTATTGCCTGTCACATTCACGTAGAAATTGTAGACCATCTTTTAATATCCAATTGCATAGGTTATGGACGCTGGGATCTTTTCCCATAAAGGACTGATACATATAATTAATTCTTTTCCTTCACAGAAATCTGAAGCTTCCCTCTAAACGGCCTTCTATTGTATGTGAAAATTGTCTTTATTCACTGGAGAAAGATAAGCGAGTGAGAGCCTTTCATATTATGGACCCAAAAGGGATTTTGGAAATGATTCTAGTTTTCCTTGAAGAAAGAGGTAACGGAGAGGTCATTCCTCCATCCTTTGACAATTTCAAGGTACTTTTGACTTGAAAGGGGAAGGGTTGCCCTTCTATTCTTCCATTAGACTACTAAACATAGTTTAATTCGACATGTTAGTTACCTAAACCAAATGATTGTTCTTATGTGTAGCCATTGCGTTCTATGTTCATCTTGTAGGAGGATTCCGAAAGGCTTCTGCCTCATCTTGGAACTTGGAAAGGTCATTCGCTAACAAAGCGTACTGGTGTTTATGGAGCAACAATTACTGAAGCAGATACTACTGCTGTTCTTGAAATGAACAAGGATGGCCAGCTAGTTCAGGTTTGTTAGCTCCTTGCAACAAATTCCTTCTATGCAAAGGTTAGAATGTAATGGTGACCATACTATTAAATGAGTCACACTGCCCAGTTTCCTTGTGACACTGATGGAGTCTCTCCTGCACATTCTTTGAGAAACAAATCTAAAATAGTTTAGTGATATTTGTATATGCTTTATGATTGGATCCTCTGCTCCTTATGAAGCATGTATTTCTTGGTAGAATGGAATTGTCACCATAGGCTAAGCTCAAATATGGAGAGAGAGCATCTTTGATGTCATTTTACCGTTGCTCCTGAAGGAGTCCTGAAGGAGGATAACTAATACTACTAACTAATGGTTCACAACTCTCTTATGATCTTTTGTTTTCAATTCTCACTGTATAACTCTTTTCGGTATCTCTCAAGTTAATTATCCAAAATAATCCGGAGGGTGGGGAAGGTTCTGATCTTTTCATTTTGCTTTAATTATTTTATTTTTGTTTTAGGCTATATGGTGTCTGAAATGAATATATTTAATGTCTTAGCTTTTGGCTGCCAATTTACTTTCCTTTTATTTTCTTCTTGAATGAAGGATATCACGTCTACTTCTGGTACGAGTAAAATTACAACCAATGTACATTGGACGGGTACCATGTCGAAAAACCTAGTGACATTCGACGGTGGTTTCCAGCTGAGTTTGTTACCTGGAGGCATTTACATGGGATACCCATCTGATGTGGCCAAGAGTGTGCAAGAATCCAGGTCATTTCATCTGGAGTTTTGTTGGCTTGAATCGCCTGGCAAGAGACAAAGACTCATCCGCACTTATGATGTAGAGGGCCTGGCTGTTTCATCTACATATTTCATCGAGTCCAAAATCTGAGTTGCTTTTCCTGATTCAAAGAGAGCTGATTTTGCTCCTACATGAATCTTTTTCCAATTTGTATCAATTATTACGGAAGATAGAGTAATTGTGTCACGTTATTTTTATTGATTGGTGCTGACAAATACTCTACTACCCAATGTATATAGAATTGAGCATTAGAGGGTTCAGTGAATATTTTGCGTCTTGGACAGGATAACGAAGAATTGCATTCACTATTTTTAAAAATATCCATGTAAGCCATTTCCGTTAACCTTGAAAAACTGTTGTTGTACCGTCGACTGCAATATTCTATCTCACAAACTTCCATCCTTTTCTCAAGAGAGCCAAATGCACATGGAAGGGTCATTGATATATAACTTTGTTCATTGAGCTCAATGGATTGGCTATGACTTGTCTAAGTTAAATAAATACTTCCATTTGAACTTGGGGATGGAAAAGATTTTACTTTTACTAGATTTGGCTTCTCAAGACTTTAAGCTGAAAGGTATTTGATGGTGAATGACTCCTCAAGTTGGCAACTTGCCTTTTGTCATAAACAACTTATTTGAGTTGTTGTAGCAAGGACAGAATATCACTTTATTTTATTGAACTGCAACTTGCTTGCATCTTTTTGCCTTATTTATTAAGATACTTTTGCAGTTGGGCCACGTGTACGTTATTTGACCCCTCGAATTTCGATCAGAGCTAGAGTAACATGTAGCCGACATGTTTTTCTTTTTTGTTTCATAAAATTAATCAGAGAAGAAAAAACTATAGTAATTCTTTTTTAACGAATTTCATGATATTCATATCCCAGATTTTCTTTTGAATCAGCCGACTCTCTTCTTGATAATTTTCCAATTCTTACTCCCCAAATAGAAATCATTTGCTTTTTCTTAACAAATTAACTTCTATGCACGGACAATTTCAAATAATTAAAAACTAAATACAAGTAATATTTGATAGCAAACATTGTCTGTAACCTATAAAAGATGGTAAATGATTTATTACAGCAAATAAAATCACGTTTATAGTATAAAATTGTTTAAGCTTTTATGTATATATAAGGTAAATTCTTGTCTAAATTGCAAACTAGTACGTAGTAAAATATTAATAATCTACTTGGAGTAATCCACTTCTCCCAAGTAGCAGTTGGTAGGTAAACAATTCATTGTATATACACTGATGTAGTGCAGATGTGTTTTGCCCACTCGCCTGATATTCTTATCCGTTTATTAACAAGTTGCAAAATACTTCAGTAGTTATTTATTCTTCTCCTCTAATATATCTAAAATCTTAGTCTAGTGAACAATTCAAAGGATTTACTTTAATAATCTATATTTCTCAATCAATTTCTTCCTTTATATTTTCTGGCTAAATTTTAGTTGTTATAGATTTCAATAACATAAATATGAGAAGTTCAGTAATATAGCATGACTTAGAATTTCAAGGATCTTGTATTGCTCAGTAATTTGATGTGTTCTTTTTTGGGCAGAAGAAATTAGTCCGAGCACCTAATTTGGATTTGGCTAAAAACTTTTTAAAACCTATAAATCTAGAATTGCAGTTAACCTATGTAAGATAGTAAATCCTGCGCTACTAATAGTTGTGCCAACTCCCACCAAATGAAAATTAGCTAGGCTGCCAAACACTACTATTAGAAACACTTTGGACAAATAAACAGTTTTTCAAGAATTATTTAAAGTTTTTGTGAAAAAAAAATGTTTTGGGATTGTTATAGTTTTCTTCCTATTTTATTCTTTTAAAAAGAATTTTCATGAGTGTTTGTGAGAAGAAAAACAACTTCAATAAAATTACTCTTTCCGATTCTTTTCTAATGTTGTTTTAGCAACAACAAAAAAATTGGTCAAAAATAAGTATTTCATTTTTGGTAACCACATTAATTCTTTTCCTTTCAAATTTATCCTTGCTTCAATAAATGATCTATATAATTTTTTTAAAAAATTCATCCTTAACCAGAGATGCAAGATAAAGCTGCGTACAATAGAGCCTTGTGGTCCGATCCTTTCCCGAATCTCGTGCATAGCGAAAGCTTAGTGCACTGAACTACGCTTTTTTAATCCTTTAACCATATCTTAGATTCAAGAGCCGAGTTGCCTTTAATATAAATATCTTTTTAAATAGTGGGTGTTTTTACCTAAGGAAAAATAATGTATATATTGTTATAAATATATTTTTAAGTAAATTAAGATATTAGTGAGGAATAATAAGCAGCCAATTTAGGATTGGTACAAGATACGAAATGCAAAGAAGGCAGAAGCACAGCGGGAAAAGAAAGGTACAATAAGCAGGTCCCAGCAGTAATTACGCCATTGACGAATGACGACTGCAGTCCCCCATCATATGCGCTACGATTAGCCAATATATAAACGTCACAGCCAAAAGCTAAAAGGGATAACAGAAAAAGCAACTCCAAATTATAAGAGCAGAGCTAATTGTTTTTTGTGAAGACTAAAAATGGGGGAAACAGGGGGAGCTTCAGCGATGTCGTTTCCGGCGTTAACAATCCCACCTCGGCCGTCGTTCGAATCCTTTTTTAGTAACATGCCTTCTTTCAGCCCAGGCCCAATGTCCCTAGTTTCCAGTTTCTTCTCCGATCAGAGCCCTGATTCATCTGATTATCCTTCTTTCTCCCAGCTTCTTGCCGGAGCTATGGCTTCTCCACTTGCAAAGCCGGCCTTTTTGCCGGATAATTCTGGAGAAGGAAGTCAAAAGAACTCAGGGTATAAGCAGAATCGGCCCATGGACCTTGTGTTGGCCCAATCTCCTTTGTTCATGATTCCACCTGGTTTGAGTCCTTCTGGATTGCTTAATTCACCTGGGTTTCTTCCTCCACTTCAGGTAATTATCCACTCAATTGTACATTTTCACTTGCAAAAATAGCCAAAGATTTCGCCTTTTTCTGTTTTAATTTAGTGGTGTTGATACTTCTGTAATTCAACTAATGCTATGCCAAGTCTTTTGTAATATTATACTTTTGTTACAGTCTACAGCTGGTAAACTGCTTCCAGAGTGCGAAAAAAAAAGTTTTTTTTTGCTGGATTAATCTTATTAGTAATTCAAATCTCACTGCCACCCATATATGAAAAAATAGATTTTAGATTCCTAGCAAAATTTTCTTCATTGTTCTGCCTAAATTTTGAAACATCCCACTTTTGGGCGTTTCCACTATTAGAAGGGACTTTTGCTACATAAGTAAGCTAGAGTCTGTGAATTATATGATGCATCCAATGGTATTTCAATTTGTTTGCAGAGTCCTTTTGGAATGTCACATCAACAGGCTCTAGCACATGTTACAGCACAGGCTGCATTTTCTAATTCTTACATGCAAATGCAAGCCGAAGATCAATGTTCGTCTCAGGTGGCTTCAGCAGAAGCATTAGGACATGAGTTGACAACTGAGCTAAAGGAAGCTTCTTTGCAGCTAAAGGAACCTTCACAAACTAGAATGGACAGCGAACCGTCGGACAAGCAGGGTAAGAAATTTGAACTGCAAGAGTTTTCTCAATCTGAGAACAAGCCGTCTTTTGTTGCTATCGAAAAACCAGCTTGTGATGGTTACAACTGGAGAAAATATGGCGAGAAGAAAGTAAAGGCTAGTGAATGCCCTCGGAGCTACTATAAGTGCACACATCTCAAATGTCCAGTGAAGAAGAAAGTCGAGCGATCTGTTGATGGTCACATAACTGAGATCACATATAATGGCCGGCACAACCATGAACTTCCTCAACCAAACAAACAAAGGAAAGATGGTTCCGCTTTGGTTGGTACAGACTGCTCCGAAGTTCGACCTGAGCATGATTCACCAGTTATGAATAGCTCAGATGGGTCTTCCCATACACGTTCTGACCGGGTTTCAAACCAAATGGTATCTGAACTTCTTGTGAAAAGCGAATATGATGAAACCAAAAATGTTTTAGTAGCAGTAGATGAGGGGCATGATGGACCAAATGCAAAGAGAACGTGAGTCCTGCTTTCATGAGTAAAGAATGCCCCATCCTTCTGTTCTAAAACAAGAAGAAAAACTGTAGAGCAACAAAAGTATGATCTAATTCAGTTACTGTGATGCAGGAAGACGGCAGTTAAGACACTACCTTCATCACATGGCACAGTTGCTGAATCCAAGATTGTTCTGCAGACAAGAAGTGAAGTTGATTTCTTAGATGACGGGTACAAATGGCGGAAGTATGGGCAGAAGGTGGTAAAGGGGAATCAGCACCCAAGGTACTTACATATCTTCCGCTGCAAGATTCTTCTCAATCTTACGTTAGTCGCTGTTCTGTATATGAATCTTATATTGCATAATGTTTATTATACTGAAGAACTTGTGTGTGCTTGCTAATTTCCAGGAAATGATGCTAGCTTATCTCCTTGTCCTATTGAAATATGCCAAAACCCATAGTTTAGAAACTTTGTCTATCAGGATTTTACAAACTACTATAGTTCTGAAATGGATACAGTGTGAAGTCTGATAGAAGAGGAAACTTTATACTGCGCTTAACAATCAATCAGGCCATGTTTTCTGGCGCTGAATTATAGTAATTTTGTTGATGAGCATGACTAATGACGACCACTCTGGAACTGCAAATGCAAGTTGTAGGACCAACTTTTTTCAAATAATATAATAAGGAAGACTGTAAAATATAGTTATTTGAAGTTATGGGTCATCAATTTTTTTTCTTAATTCTTGGATTTCATTCTTGTTAATATGATGTGCTATTTTTAGTGACGTGTGGGCAAAGACAGCCATAGTCTTTTAAAGGTTTTATTTGCTACCTGATCACCAAACTAGATCTCTTGGTTTCAGATCACCAAACTAGATCTCATGTTTATGATAGGGGATAATAAATCACAAAAGNTACGAGTCCAAGTAGCTATGACAAACTTTCATCCTGATAAATCTGTTCAGAATCAAGAGAGACAAAATGTAAGTCTGGTTCAGCTGGAAAATAAATAGAAAAGTGGATCTTGGTTGTAAAATGAACATCTAGTTTGCCGGCTCATAATCCTTTGTTAGTTTTGAACAATGAAGAATTTGATGGTAATAATTCAATAATGGCTTTCGTGATTATTAATTTGGCCTGTCAGACTTTGTTTTTGAAACCTCTTGGACAATGCAAGATATTGGAATCTGATAGGGCAGTGGAAAAATTACAATGTATGTATTTTTATGTGAAAGCACGTGGCAGAGTTGAGAAAGTTTTTTATATGCATC